GTGTGTGTGTGTGTGTGTTTCTTGTCGGCTTTTTGCCGATCATGTTTCATTGTGTAACGTCTTGTATTGCAAATTGATCTTTGCATTCAATTCTGTGTCCATTCAGGCACATGTCATGGTTGTGTTTCAAACAAAATGTTCATAACATGTTCACGCCTTGATGTGGTATCCAGTGGCTCGAAGCTCAGCACTTTGCCAGCGTCCGCCAATGGGCCGGACCAAGAAGCACGGCGAGGCGCCACAAATAGACTTGTGCCACAGTTCGTTTCTTTTGACTTGTCCAGGATGTGCCACCTCCCCCAGCACCTCCACCTCCTGCAGGTCAGCAGGTCGACAGCCTATCGACAGATCGAGAGCATCTGTCGAGAATTCACCATGACCATCAAATGTCTGAGGCCAACTTCATGGCAGCAACCGGGACCATGCCACCAGATGCCGGCGTTCTAGCAGGCAAACTCTGATGGAAACGGGAAGGGTTGTGGAGCTATTTTGCTAGCAATTCTTTTCCGCTCGTTCCGGATGTGGTGTTCAATCCCAACAAGGTGTGTACATGCTGCTTGACGGTTTTTCACTTGGCAGGTCTGTTCGGCGGAAACCCGTTGTTAGCAGCAAACCCATTGCTGCACCCTCAGCACTTTTTCATGTAGACGTTGGAAATGCTCGTGATTCATTGAGGCTCACAGCCAATCCGCTAATTCTAGCGACTTTGGCGAACCCAGTGCAGCCATCAGCTGCGATTCAACAGGTACGGCTACTGAAGCGTTTTCTGGGGCATGCCTGGTGTGCCTGTGTCTGTTCGCCAGACTGGAGCGACGGCCTCGGAAGAGGTCGACAACAATCTGATAGCCCCTCGCTCAGCAGGAGTAAAGAACTCTATGAATATGTGGTGGCCGGTGACGATGTTCTTTGACCGCCCATCGTGCGTTCAAAAGCATGTCGATAGAAGCCTCTGGCTCCCATGCAGCCTCCGAGGACCCAGACGTGCAGGAGCTGTGTGATTACTTTCACATAGAGGACGGGGATTTCGGATCGAATCTGGGCCGTAGTTCTGCCAGCAACTTGTAGGAGAGACACGCGCGGCGACTCAGTGATATCATGAAGCACTGGGCCTTAGCACTTCGTTGGGAATTGCGGCGAGTTGACGGTGCAAAGTGTGGGCATTTGTGCTGCAGCTAGGAATCGGCAAGAGACCTTTGTGGAGGATATGGAACGACTGTACGATGTGCTGGAGCGCAGTCCCGTCAATGTTTGCCGCGGGTCAACTTAGAACAGGTCGCCATTTGGTCATGTTCTAGGTAATCAGCCCCATTGAACATAGACATAGCGGGTGTGAGTTATAATGCGCTCCCACAATCTCGCACATGATGGCAGGTGCAAACAGCCCTGCAGGATTGTTGGTTGTCAAAATGCGGGAAATGGAGGAGGGCACCTTTGTTGGCAAGGTGTCATGGCTGAAATCAGAAGAAGCCCCCTTTCCCCTAATATCGCAGAATTCTTGTTCTCCCAATGCGAGACGTGGTGTCTAAGGCAACACATAAGCAATTTCATTGAAGACCAAGCCGTGAATTCAGCATGCTGAGGGAAGGAGCATAGGGCATAGGGAGAGGAAGGCCAATGCACCATAAACATGGGGCGCGAGGGACGGCGTTCAGGGCTGCAGTCAATTAAAAACAGGTGTTTCAGAGTCGCCCTAGCGTTTTGTCATGTCAGCAAGCCTCTCCTTCAGGAGGTTGAGCATCTCCTTGCAGCAGTTATTCAATTCTGCCTAGTTTCAATCGGGGCTGCTTTAAGAGAAAGGATGACCAGCAATCTCAAACAAGACAGTCACTGAAAGCTCGCCCGAGGTGAAGGCTGACAAGGACCCAAAGTGCCTGTAGTACTGTAGCGAGTTGTGCTGTGTAGCTAATTCTGCTTGGCTCCATTCATTGCAGGACCTAGCCGCCGTGTCCAAGAAGTACAAGTTGGATGAGCAGGTTCTGTACATCGCTGTGCTGCCGTGTGCACATTGGTCGACCATGTTGCGAAGGCAGAATCCAAGCTTGCAGACATCCTGGCGCGGTACGATGACGTGGCTTGATAGTGATTGGTGTCCTGCTGCTTGGGGAAGATTGCGCTGGCCGGGCTTTGCTTAGTACTTGTGTCTAAGGCGCGGCGGAAAGAGTGCCCAGCTTACTTGCCACAGCAGAAGCAGAATATGCGGTAAAACTGTGGGACTCCTTTGTTTCTGCTCTGGGCTTGAAAGCTAAGCTGCGAGTCCCTGCAGGTATCTGATCGAGATCGAGAGACACCTGGAGGTGTCGAACAGGCCTTCAGCCATGGCCATGATGCTTCTGAGGACCGACAGAAAGCAAGCACACTTGCACGTAGGCAGTTTGGCATTGTCGTTTTGGTTTCCATTTTTCATCTGGCAACAGCTGCACTACCATCAAGCCAAAGCGAGCCAAGCAATTTCGGCTGGGTGGCGCGGCGCCGCTCAGAGTTTAAAGCCCATGTGCAGGAAGCTTGGTGAAGGCCAACCGCTGGGCAAGCCAGGGCAAGCCGCACCGGGAAGTTACCTGGACAATGCCAGCGGCTTACTTCCAGCTGTTGAAAAGAGCAGTGCACTTTCAGATCACTTTTCATGTGAGGCTCAGCGTGCGGCGCGCGGGGAAACGGCCCACCGAGGAGGCCAAAACTGTGAGGGCGAGACAGTCCGAGATAGGGTGAGGAGCGAGTGAGCAGCCCAAATGGCCAGGCCGCGAGGAGCGCGGCCGGAAAAGCCCCGACCGAGACCGGCGGGATCGAGACAAAGACCGGGACCGGGATCGCGACAGGCCGGGGCCCGGGGCTGGAAACCCGTGTGCCGGGCAGAGGCATGGCAGCACGTGCACAGCTCTAGGCGGCGCTCTCGCTCTAGAGACAAGCGATCCCGCTCCCGAAGGAGATAGCAGCAGGCAGGGACAAGATGACAAGAAGGATGCGGGCGAACCAGTCAGCTTGAAGAGGGGGTGTGCGGTGGGTATGTGTGATATGTGTGACGTATGTTAATCTTGAGTGTGTGAGGGGGAACACCAGGCTCAGCCGGCAGTGACGGGTTGCGGGTGCTTCTGCGACCGATCCGTGCAGCTGCCGGTTGAGAAAAAGGTGCTACCGCTGTCTGCACTCCATGTTTAGTTGTGTAAAATGCAATGACATTTTCACAGTCTTGCAGACAACTGAGCAGTGTGTCTGGCCCGCCCACATAAACCGGCAGCGTGTTTTTAGCTGTTCTTTGAGCAAGCATCCGCCATAAAAGCAAAGAGACCGAACAAAGAGACAACCTGCAACAAGCAGCGCAGCAGCACAGGGTAGAGTAGGGTAGAGTTCCAGCTTTTTCTTCGCGCAGCTACCCTGTGCACCCTGTAGGCGGGGCCAGGCCTAACTTTCCAGGAGTCTTCGATGGAACATTGTCCAGGCCATGGGCGTTCATGCCTGCCAATGCCGCAGCAACCCTGGAATCCTGCCTGGCCTTATTGTGCTCTTTTCTGTTGGCTGTAGCGGTAGCGCAAGGACGGCTGCCAAAGCGAGTGCTGAAGCAGCAGAAAGGCTTTGCTGTAAAAAATGAGACCCTGGAGGGACCCAACATGACCTAGCATTGGCAGCATTGGCAGGAAGCACCGGAAGAGCCAGAAGAGCACTAGGGCTGACAGGAAGGCAGCTGAGCCGTGAGCCCTGTGAGCTCTCCTGAGATTCCAGCTGAGGGTTGGCAGGCTGGCAGGTTTGCCAGAGCATCTCGGCGCACTGCGGGCAGCTCTGCCGCCACTCGATCTCAAAACTTACATTCAGATCGGACCTTGGGCTGACTTCCAGTGTGTTGTCCAATTGTCGAGCAAGCTGAGGAAGCTTTGGAAGCGTTAGGGCCCCAGGTCCTTTCCTTCAGAGTGCATAGCAGGCATAGCGCCGCTCACATAGTTGAGTCTAAGGCAAGAGCAGGGACTCCGAGCTGGAGAGCGGAGACGAATGTACAGTGCGCGCTTAAGCGCTAGACCGCGTTCACAACATGTGCCTGAGCTGGAGGTGCTGTCTCTCTCCCTTGTTCGGGCGTGGCTCAAGCTGGACTCTCAGAGCAGCATGCCGCACCAACACTTGGAACTGCAGTTCTTCCAGCTGTGGCTGCTGTTGCTGTGGCGTGGTTTTCTCATGTTTCAGATTTCAAGCCAGGTCGGCAGCAGCTGGAAAGGCAAAAGGGATGCGAAGGGCAGAGGAGAACAGCCCGGCTACTTTTGCCAGCTTTGAGAATACAGGAACTCAACGCTTGGGCAGCGAGAGCGTCAGATTTGGTCCTGGGCCTCGCGCCCAGAGTTCTCTGTTCGGAATTTTTTCGGAGCATGATCTGCTGGTCCCTGCGTGCTTGGTTCTTGTAGCTGGAAGGGCAGCAGTCATTTCGCCATGCTGGGTTCAAGTTGAGCCAAGAAACGCAAGGCACTTGTAGGCAGCGGTGCCTTCACAGCCATGGCGTTGTCCATTCCGGCCACGATTGCTCCGCATGAGAGTGCGTTGATTCCAGCGGCTAAGCCTGTCCGAGTGAGGATTCCGGAAGACAGATCAGCAGGAAGGTCTCTCACACAGCTTTCTGTTGCCGGGATCACTGCATCCGTCGTAGCAGCCAGGCAGAAGAGGCCGAGCGAGCGGAGATGCGTCCGCAGGGCCGAGCCGGAATCCCTCGCTTCACCAGGTCCTTCATCTGCTTCGCAGGCCAAGCAGAGAAGCCAACCTGACCGGCAAGCAGCGCTGGCTGCGAGCATGTATGGGCAGAAGATCATTGGGGCCGACAAGACTGTTCCCGAAGTAGTGCCCGAAGAGCTTCTCAGCGGTGAGTTTGGCAAGGAGCTTGAGGCTTGCATGGAGGCCATGGTAGAGGTTCTGCACATGCTGTGCCTGGGTACGCTTATTTTGGAGGATGTCAAGGACAGATCAACCGTTGGCCTGTATGGCTACAAGCTGGAAGAAAATTACGTAAGAGAAGAGACAACCATGCCAGCCGCTGCTGTGACCTGCTACATCACGAAGATGTTAAAGGAGAAGTTCCCCGATGATCCCATCATCTGCGACGAGAATCCGGAGCTCCTTGAGAACGATGAGAAGTTTGCGGAGACGATAGCCTCCTTCCTGTCCAGCTTTAGCTTGATACCTGACGCAGACGTGGCCAGTGTGTCAGAATGGCATAGGATGTGCAACTCCTATTCACAGAATGCTGAGACGCCCAGCAGATACTGGGTGTTCAATCCGGTGGATACCCGAGCTGAATTTCGAGATGCTAAGCAGTTCTGCAGCACGCTGTGCTTGATGCAAGGCGGTGAGCCAGTCGTGAGTGTCATGGGGTGCCCCATGCTCAGCTTCGATCATGCCAGCCGCAGCACTAGTCACCCTTCTGGGAGCAGCATCTTCTATGCAGTGAAGGGGCAGGGGGCATGGACCCAGTGCGTCATCATGGAAAGACAAACTGGCATTTACTTGGGCCGGTATGGCCTGAAGGGCAAGTCTCTCAAGCTTGACGTTTCTCAGAAGATCAAGCGTGGGAATGATGGCCTCTACGACATGCTGGGAACAGAGCAGCTGCGAATAGCGCAGCATGCGCGGATGCGCCAAGACATTTTCCTGGATTCCGAGCGAATTGCAAAGATTTTAGGCTCAGAGTTCGCAAAGTTCCATTTCGTCAACAACTCGATCAAGTTCTGTTGGCTGGCTCGGGGAGATGAGGACCTCCTTGATCTGAACACTGCAGAAAAGTGACTTGGAGTAAGATTCTGCCTCAGGATGTGGCGTGGACAATCACCCAAGGGCTCTATGACAAGACCGCTGCCCTTCGCGTCACCGAACATGCAGCAGGCACTTGAAGTTGTGGAATCAGTTCGCACACGCTCATAGACATGTCAAGCGCAGCACAGTGTGAGTCACAGGTGTTCTGGTGGCCATGGAGTCAGGTGCAGCCGTTGCAGATTTGGATGGCAAGGACATTGACTGGTCCTCCGGCGCTGTGCTTGCCAATAATCGAGGGCTTTTCGCCACAGACCCAAAGAAGGCACAGTCTGAGCATACAAGCCAGCTTGGCGATCATGTGAACTGTCACTTTGGTCATGGTGAGGCCTTGCAGAATACTGGCTGAGAGTATATGTTGCATGTTGAAGGTGCCAAAGCAAGGCCTGGTCAATGCGGTCAAAGAGGCCACCGAGAAGTCCGAGGCATGTCGGCGCTGAACTCTGGATTTAGCTCAGCTTTAGCCCAGAAGAGGGCTGAAATGCGAGCTCGGGAGTACGTGAGAGCCTCAAGACAGGTCCTCTATGAAGATAGATGCCAGAAGAGGAAGGAGAAAGCGGCCATGCTTCGAAAGATCTTCGAAAATCTTGTGCCTTGGCAGACCCTACATGCTGCCCGGCTGTTCCTGCGCATTGGCGACAATCTGTGTCCGAATGGTAACGAAGACTTGTTTGTCCTTGTTTCGGATAGATGCAGCTTGATCAGAGACACCTCGTATTGCTGGGTGCAATCCGCATTCGTCATCCTTCTTTGTGTAAAGGTCTTGGCTTTATGCGTGAGACATGACAAGCCTTAGGCCCCTGGCATACTCTGAGGCCAGCCATGCCGAGACACCCGAAGAGTTGAAGGGAGCGGAGATGGTGCGGACGACGCTTGTCCTTGAGGACTGTTTGATGACGTGCGGTTTTTAGTGGCAAATCGTTGGACGTAGCGTGTCGAACTGCTTTGTCTTGCCACTTCCAGGCTTTCCGCACAAGAGCCCCAAGGTCTGGAGGGTTACACTTGTAGTTCCAACTTTCGCTGCCAGAGATTGGCAAACCTGGATGTAAGCAGAACAGCAGAACTGTTCATCGCAGGATATCCGCAATGATGGCTTTTCACAAATCGCCATTCCTCCTGTTATCATCACTCATGTCACGCAGTTACACGATACAGCGCTTGCGAGCTTGCTGATGTCTGGTTCCTTGTTGGCGATGTTTCAAGTTTCCTTTCATGCTGTCCTTGACTTTTCTCTGGACCATCTCAGGAAGGGCATCGAGATGCTTGATGATGAGGAAGAGATGATGAAGCTCACGCAGGCTTCCATGGATCGTGGCTCGGCTCAGACCATGAAGCTCAGTTGTCAGACTTCTGTGATTTCCCTGATTTTGACTTCCTGACTTTCCTGTATCATCTGTGGTGCCATACAAGGAACGGAGCCAAGTAGGATGGGCTCTCCTCCTCAGCCAGACCCCGATGCGCTCGAGGGGGCCTGGCACTTAGCTTTGGTTGCAATGCTTGCTAGCTGTTTGCCTGTTGCTGCCGTTTGTTTGGCACCTGAAGCTGAGGCTCTCCCCTACTCGCCAATCAAATCTGATGATTAAGTTGCAGCTGCTGGCTGTTGAATTTCAAACGCGTGCTATGACATGCTATCGCATGCTTGTGAATACTCGATTTTTGTCCGCCAGCAGAGCTGACCTTGGTTTTGGTTTGTCTCGAGTCTCACTGGCGTGCATTCTAGGCAAAAAGAAGGAACGAAGCGCGGCCGTCGTGCCAATGAGAGCGCTTTTTTTTGGCATGCACGTATGGGAATTCTCACGAAGCTTCCTGAGCGAAGCTCAGGCCGTGCCTTTCGTCAGCTGGGCCGCTGTCCCCCCCTGCGCTTGCGCATGGGCTTCCGCTTCCAGGCTTGCTTTGTCGGATGACGCCGAGTGATTCCAAGACTCTATAGGCTGACATGTGGTGGTTGACCAGTGCATTGGTTTCAAGAAACTTCGCCGCCTCATAGCATGACAGCAAAGATCCAACATGTAAATCCACCGACATGCACGCAGTGAGAACTTTCCTGGTGCTAGCTCTGTGGAAGTGTTGAGCATGGCACAAAGCAAGGGCTTCGAAGATGAGGATGTCTTCTTTGCAAGTCTCTTGGAGGATGAGGGCCCCACAGCTCTCAAGTCGGAGGCCAAGGTAGGCAGCATTTCCATTGCTTCGGACGAGGAAGGCAGCCTCGATTTGGACGGGGAGCCCGAAGAGGCATCGATCTTCCAGAATTTTCAGAATACTGCTTCAAGCGTGCCGCCGGCAGATCTGGATTTTTCTGCCGAGGACCTTACGCTCAGGGCAGCACTGATAGCGTTTTATGGGGCAAGAAATCCTGCGAACCTTTCCAGCATTAACGCCTTGGTGAAGCGATTCCGCAGCGGGGGCGTTGCCGGCCTGTGGGCGCAGCTAGCCACAAAGTATGGCGTGGCCCCCTTGGAGGCTGTAGATCTGCTGGCAAGAACCTTGTATTTATCGAGCATTGAGCAAGCAGACGATGATGTCCTGGAGAGCTTACTGCAAAGGCTTCGTGTGCGAGGCAGGGAGCTGGAGACAGCCATGAACGAGGGTCACCTGGAAGCGGTCCGGGCCTTGTGCTCTCGTGGCATTACACCAGAGCTGCGGCCACGCTGCTGGAAGGCTCTTCTCGGGTATCTTCCTCTGGGAGGAGAGTCGTCTGCAATGATCCTAGAACAGAAGCGCAGACAGCATGCAGATCGCTTTGCAGAATACCTGGCCTCGACAAATGGAGAGCTTAGCTTGAAGTCGAGCGATCCGCTCCACAGGGAGCTGCTGGAAACAGTCAAGGACGAAGTTGATCTGACTCTACGCAGGTATGAGCCTTATCAGACTGCCAACGTGAAGGCGGAGTCGCTGGTATCCATCGTTTTTCTGTTTCTGGCATTTGAGGACATGGAGTATGTCCAAGGACTGAGCGACATGGCCTTCGTCATTGCGCATGTCTTGAGCCAAGATGGGGATTATTCAGACGCAGACGGTTATTGGTGTTTTGCCTCTCTCGTATCTGAACTCAAGGCGCGGCTGGTTAATATGGATCGCACAACAGCATTCGTGCATACTTTGGTCGGGACGGGTGCCAGCGTGTTAAGCAAGTATGATGCCCAGCTTTCCGAGCATTTTGGTGCCCTGGACTTTGAGCCGGGTATCGTTGTGATGAAATGGTTCATGCTGCTCTTTTCTCGAGATGCCTCGACAGCACTTGGAGATGTGGTGGCATGGTGGGACATCTTCCTCGCAGATCCTGGCCGCTTTGAGCTTCCTGGCCATGCTTGCGTGGCTCTGCTTTTGGAACATCGCGAGGATTTGCTGGAGGCGGGAAACGTCTTGGATTTGGTGGAGAGGCTTCAAGCTCTCCCTCGTGAGGGCTTCAGCTCTTTGGCCCGCAAAGCCTGGGCAATTTGCCTGTTTGAGAGGCAAAACGCAAAGTCCTCTCCGCCTTTCCCTCCTCCCTCGGCTGCAAAGGTGGTCAGGGATATGGCTGGCTCTTTCTTCTCTGGGATCTTCACACATTTCTGAACTGCGCCAAGTGCAAAAGAAGGTAACAGCACACTAACACATTCTGTCACATTCTTTGTGGTCTGTGCTGCCAGGATCCATCCCAGCACGGGGGCTGGGAGGTGAGCAACCTCAAAGGCTACCGCGAGACGCAGCTTGGGAGGTCCCAGTTTTCTTCATTCGCTTTCCTGTGTGTCACGACTATCCTGGAGGCTGCCCCTGCGAGCAGCCAGCATCGTGCACGGGGCTTTTTTTGGTAAGCTCAGCAACCTACGCGTACTCAGTACTCATGCTGCATGAGCTTCGAGGTCCTGGCATTCGTATTGGGCTGCTTTCCGCGTACGCTTGCGGAAGGAAGAGTCTGAGGACAAGGCTGGCATTCTTTTTCCATTCGTTTGGTTGATGCACAGCGCTTCGCCCGGAGGTTATCATTGATCGCCAGCTTCTCACCAAGGACCTTTCGACAGCAGTGGAGAAGCACAGGCACACCTGGAGTGGGCTCACAGCATGTGGATTGACTTGCTGAGAGGCGTGGCGAAGCGAGGCAGCTCGCAAGTGGATGTTTCCATGTCACGGCACACAGCCGGCGACAGCAGGTGCGGAAATGTTTTCAATCTTGATAGCCGCAAGGTCCCGTGTCAACCTCTCCGGTCGTGCAGCATTGTACTGAAATCCGGTCTATTTCGACCGGACTGTCCACTAATTAACAGCTTCCATTCCGTAGGGCGCTGTGGCGGGTTTTACCCGCAAACTGGGCATTCACAACAGGCTGCTGACAAGCGAAAGCGCATCAAGGCGCCTGCTTAGCTGAAAACAAATGAGGGCTACGTTGGCGTGTCGGAAGGTGGTCCGAAAGCAAGCTGACTTGCTACCTGCTGTGGTGATGAAGCCGCTTGCTCCTCCGACTCTGTTGCTCGGCCTGACTTGGAAGAGCTTCTGCGGTCCACAGATAAGCTGTCCAGATCCCAGGCCCCGATACACGCTTATCTTCCTGCATGGAATGGGCGAAGTGGCAATGAGCATCATCCTCAACCCAGATGGCTCTCGGAACATGTAATTCTAATTTGCATGCAGATGCTTCAAATGCGTTGCAGGATACGCGGATAGGCGTGGGTGGGACAGTGCCTCCTTGCATGTGCCAGCTATGCTGCACTGTGAGATCTGAAGGCCACATTATTTTCACGATGGGAGTGCTGCTATCAAGGCGAGCAGCTACTTGAATGCTCCTGCTAGGTGGGAGTTTATCAAGATTCTGTTCCTTGCATTGCGCTACTGTAGTGTGCATTTTGCAGCTGTGGGCAGGTGATCATTCCAACCGCACCTCTCCGCGAGGCTCGTGCAGTGCGTCAATGCGACTCTTGGAATTTTTGCGTGCCTTGAGATTAGCTGCTTCGACACGTGGTGGTCAAAGGCGCGGCCTGATCAAGCTGGGACTGTCACAGGGGCAACAGTGACAGAGTGACAGGTGAAGAGCCGGGATGTCAAGGGAAGTCGGTGGAGACTGGAGAAATTCAATTCCTGGCTGCTTGTCCAACAGTGGCGGTCGGTGCTGCAAGCAGTGCTGCAAGCGGTGCGTGGCAAGGTATGACTACATCAGCAACCGTGGCGGTCGGAAGGAGGCGGCCTGCAGCTTCCGAGTTTTCTTATGGCTACAAACACTCAAGGGACGGATCGGGCTGAAGTCAAGGATGCAATCGATATCGATTCCCTTCACCGAATGCAGCAGTCACTTCATGAGATCATTGCGCGCGAGGCGGGGAGTAAATGAGGGCTTCCAGGCAGATTGCTTTCTGCAAAAAAAGGCAGAGGAGCTTGGTGGCCGTAGCGACCGGCATCTCGGCAGCTGAGACAGCTTTGAAAGCAGACGTGGAATTCCTGACAAGCAACAGGGTGATGCATGGATGCATAGGTGACTGCAGCCATTTTGTAGATCAAAGCCATCTTCAGATTCAGTTCCTCCCGACTCTTCGTGCCCTTGCCGAATGGAGGCAGAAAGCTTGGTTGCAGCTGTGGATGGGGAGCCCTTCAGGCCTAGCCATTGCTCTGCGAAGACCAAGGCAAACAAGATGGTCTCGAAAGTTTCTGTTGCTTGTCGGGATTTACATTGGGATTTAGCGAAGCACACCTACTGACCTACTGCATCCTGAGCTGGTGTTCTGCAAGGCCCGGATGGGCAGGCGAAGAACAGAGCCATGATCTCAGCTTGAGCGAACCGCATCGGCCGCTGGCGAGTTTGGGTGCTGAGGGGGGACTGTCGCATGGGCGAGCGCCACCCTCAGATGGGTTTGGACCCTGTGGCAGCCCAAATGACACAAATTGGAAAGCTAGCGGCAGTCCGCCTGCATGCACAGCCTTGACATCAAGTCTCGGGATCTTCTTCTAAAATTGCCTGTTTGTCACAACACAACTCTTTCCATCACTTCATCTGTCAAGGAAACAGCTGGCAGCGTCAAGCTCGACGCATGCCTTCAGAGGGAGCCTGGCTTCCAACAGGCCAGCACAACATCGGTCATCAACAGTTCAAGACCTGTTTGGCCGTGGAGACTGAGAGCTTCACAGCATTAGTGCAGTCTGCAAGCGACCCTGTGGCTTGGCTTCAACCATTCTCTTATGCGGTGAAAGCATCTCATGTTAAGTGCCGGCTGTCCTCAGCCGATATCGTGAAGTTGGATTTCAATCATGTGTAGAATACGTCGGAGTTACTTCACGAGCAGTTTTTGCAGAGGCAGTTGCGGCACCTGCTGCCTCCTAGCCCCAGTGCTGGTGCTGTGCGCCCCTCCCGGCGCCCTTCTGAAGATGGCAGCTTGCAAGCAGACACGGTCGGCGAGTGTTTGAAGCTGCTAAAGTTCTGAAGGGAGGGCCTCCATGGGGCTGCTACTCACCATTTAGAGGTGGTGATGTTTCAGCACTGGAAGAGTTAAACACTGGAATAGCTAGTAACCAGGTATCACTCCAAGATTCCGTGCGAAGCAGCCTCATTGCTTGAAGCGTGCGAATCAGTACGCGTGCTACTTTAATACGTTTCGCAGTGCAGGATCGGAGTGCTTCACCAAGTTGACTTGGCGGTGGGCCAGACGTGCTGCTTGTGAGTACCATGCCCTTTTGACCTCGCCATTGCCCCTTCGCAAACCATGACTTTGAAGAGTACTCGTTGTCATGACTAATTGCGACGCTTCATATGCAAGCATTTGTTTCCCAATGCTGAATTGTTGAAGAAGTTTTTGTTTGAAGTGACTAGCTGAAAACAGGCCATCAGAGGCGGATCCTTGGGTAGCGATTCCCGAGCTCTTTTTGTAGGGACATGGGTGTTCGCCTGTAGTGTCTTGCATCCCAGGCAGTCGGGAGCCGAGCCTGGATGTGCGGCGCCCAGGAGCTGCTGTTTGGGGGTGTCATGCGTCGCCGCCAACATGCTCAAGTTGACAGAGGCCGTTCAAGTCTGAGGGATTGGCAGTGTCTGCTCAGGTTCCAGATGCTTTTCAGCGGCGGTCCACCCTCCCAGCTCTGGTCGAAGCTTGTCTCCAGAGCTGCATTGGGCTTGGTGTGAGGCATTGGCTCTTCATAATCTTCAGGATACGAACACGCAAGCTTTGATGCTCTCCCGACAGCTCCAACTGGACTATCACGAAGCAGGGCCGCTTTCAAAGAGCTTTGTCTGCTTCTGATTCTTTGCGCATCGCTTGTCTAAGAGGTGAAGTTCGCTGTGGAGGAGTGTCGGGGGAGCGCCAAGCTTCCAAACGGAGGCAGGGAACCGGCTCGCCGGCTCCAAGCCTTCTCAGCCCTTGCGAAGTGTACGTTGCACGCTGGTAGCTGGAGGCTTGTAATGGCCTCCTAGCTGGGTCTTAGCCATGGCTAGTCTGCAGACGGCAGTTTCTTTTCCAGCATTGCCCAGCTGCGTTTGGAGGTATGGATATCGACACCTTCAGCGACTTGAATGCAGTTTCCTCTACAGCATCCTGGCAAGCTTCACCAGCTCAGACTATGGCTGTATTGTCCAAGGAAACTTCTTGCTGCGTGTTTTCGACATGAAGCAAATCTCAGATCACATGCTGCATGATGCCTACGAGGAGTGCCAGGCAGCAGTGCAGTTCCCATAGACGTAGAACCTGAACAGCTGAACACTTCGATGTAGGGTCGGTCAAATTCCGAGCATGGCCCGTGGCCATTTTACGATCCTGAAATCAACAGCTCAGCATCAGGCAGCAGATGGACCCATGAACACGCGACGCTTCCTGTCCTGGCAGCTTGGATGAGTACCGCTACCAGAGAGTCATGGAGTCACACAACGTCAGAGAGCAGCCAAGGTATCGGGACCACATGTTCGCTCTGCAGTCCACGACGCCGACAGGACATCAGATTTCAGATGCAAGGCTACCCCTGGGCCGCTATGCAGACAGACGCGTCGCAGGAGACCACCACAAGGGGGATCATCTAACCCTGGAGCTTTCGAAGAAGTATCAGTTGCGAACCAAGTAAGTCGTGGTGGGTGAGCAGCGCAAGGGTCGTACGTGCCCATCCTGTTGTATGTGCAGACGAGGTGCTCTTGCATCGATCTTGACAGAGTCAAAGCACAGTTCGACAACTTCGACCTGGACAAATCAGGCTGCACGGTGCTGCAACGTCCAGGCTGTGCCCAGTGCCCCCCAGCCTTCCAGAACAGTTCAGGAGCCATCGAGTACAACGAGTTTGAGCACATGATCCGAAAGCTTCTCCATTGCTCCAGTAAATCCGCCGCTCAGCATGAAGCGATGGACCTCATTGGAGCATCATCCGGTCACCGCAAAGTTTACTTGTCTGCTTCTCCATTCAGAATCCAACTGTGCTAAGGATCTTCCACAGCATCGGATGCAGAGATTCTGGCAAGAAGTTGACAGAGACAGAAACGGCATCTCGGTGTTGAGGGACAGGTTCAGGGGCATAGTGACCTCGGTGCTCAAAGTTGCTACCTCCAAGGCAGTGTGGATTTTGAGGAATTTGCTGCGCAACTGGGCTGCTGCAGGGACTGTTCCAAACAGCTCAGGTGTAAGTGGGGAAGTCTTGCAGTTGGACAGTTGCATTCCCGCATGGCCGCCAAGGTGGTATTTGAAATATTTCACCGTCGCCCAGCAGGCTGGGCCCATCGAGGCCTTCTATGCGTCCTGCCAGCAGAAGAAGCCGTCTTACCGCAAATTTGGGGATTTTTTGATGCTGCGGCTGCAGTGCTGCAGTACCAGTAATATTTTATTTGGGGATATTCTGGTACCCATTATTACCCCAATAATGGAGAATCAAATGGAACAGAAAATGGAAAATGAAATGGAACCTGGGATTATATAGGACTTCGTTGTAAATGATCAGCCAAGCCATGTCCCCGAGGCTTCGTTTATGCCGGATGTCCAGCGGGCCCATAACCTGGAGGTTTTGGAGGCAAAGGTGCAGGACTCCTACTGGTTGTGGCGGCGAAAAATACACCTGTAACTGTGCTCAAGTGCCTCAGACAGAGCTGCTGAGTTAGACGCAGCTAGACTTTCACAGGTTTTCCGTGCACCCTTTCATCAGAACTTACTTCCAAGTCTTCCATCTGATGAGTGGCAGTTCTGAGCTCCTGACAGTACGTGGCGCTGGCCTCACTGATTGTAATGTTCAACAAGACTACAAGAGCAATGGCTTTTTCAACCGTGGGTAACTCTGCAAACGACGCGTGAATGGCAGCTTTCTATTGCTGTCGTGCTGTTTCAAGACATGGCTGCCATGTCATCACCATGTAGGGGACGCACCGCCAGTTATTCCTGCATGTTGAATCTCCATAACCATGCAGGAGGAAGCCCACAGAGACAGGACCGCCAAGGAAAAGTTCCTCATGTCAGATGCAAAGTCCTGGTCTGCTCTTGAGTGACCCAAATGGGCAGAGCTCAGGGCCATGGCCAACAAGTTCAAAAGTCGATTTCAACACGGGGGCGTGGCATGGTGGAGTTTGTGAGCTTCAGGCGTGAGACGCAGACCCACCTCGCCTGCGACACTCTCGCTATCATTGGGCAATGTGGATGTACAGAATTAAAGACCCGCCCAATGTCTCTTCTTGTAGGCCTTTAGCCTCTGACTTTGGGCAGCTTCTAAGTGCTTTGCCCGAGTCTTCTGTTCAGTTTGTAATTTTTATTTGCCTTTACATGCAATCGCTGGGAGTGAAGTCTTATCAAGTCCAAACGAAAAGGTCGATTTCTCTGGAGCCGAAGAGATGTTGGCAATTCTGCCAGGTTTGGACTTGAGTTGGCATTTGTGAACCAGAAGTTCCAGGCATGGCAAACTCTGGGACTTTGACTAGATCCGCTTCCGGCGTCAAGTTGAGCGCCTCTCCGGTGACCAGTCTTGCTGATTTTTCGTTCCCAGCGATCACTGCCAGGTTTGCGGGTCACGATTGTCGGGAGTCGGGAGCAAATCTTTGGAGTGCAGGAGAAAGGCCACACCCTGGCTCTCAGACATCGTGCCTCGACAACTGACTGTACAGAATGTCGCAGCTTCTAAGCTTCTTCATGCTGGCCACAAGCTGCCATTACCCCGACTTCTGACGATGGTGCACTAAAAACGAAGCGACCTTCAGACCTTCAGAGATCTTTCCGCGGCAATCCTCAGGCTAAAACATGAGGATCCGGTCACCTGAGGATCATTTTGGGTGGCAAGTCGCAGGGTTCCGTGACAGCCCTGGATGCTGCACCCTGAGTCCAAATTTTGAGATCTTTGCGCTAAGAATACTTTCCTGTGCAAATGAGGCTGTACTTACATATCCGAAGAGGCAGGTGTTAGACTGGTGCATGTGCGAGCATCTACTACTGGCAAGCACCTGCAAGAAGCGAATGTGCGAGGCAATCGCAGCTATATCTTGTCTAGCATGTTACTGTTACTTGTGGCATGTGATCGAGCGGGCATTCTAAAGGGAGATCAATGTGAGACCATTTGCACATGGAGGGTTAGTCACTCGCCGGTGCTCTCTGGTGAAGCCTGGCATAGTGCAACCAGGGCAACACAGTGCAACGTAGCGCAGCGTTGTGCAATGTAGCGCGGCGTAGTGCAACATAGTACAACAATGAGACGAGAATCGAGAACTGATTTTGGGCTTCCCGGCTTCAGGCTTGGAGGCTTCATTGGCTTGGTCGGACATGTGCTCTCCTGTACGCCCATCGAAGAAGATGGCCCGCAGTTGAAAACGCCGGAGCTCAGTTGTCCGCACTTCTCCCCTGGTAGTTCCGCACCAGCCCTTCTCTGAAGCAAGGCCACTGCATTTCTACCATGAAGTCGAGGACAGCCGTCGAACACACAGATCATGCGCCTCAACACTGCCCCTGGCTTGTGCTGCAGGATGATATTATGCAATGGCACTGGGCGCGAGTCTCGTGCAATCGAAGTGCAGGCCTATGCAGGCCTGCAAACCTGCAGCTTCTCAGGTCTCCAAGATGGAGCGCCGCCTGCGTAAGTCCAACTACAATGCTCCTCACCCGTTCAACCACAGAAGACTTTGGCAAGTGGAGGTTGATGGAGGTTGTGCTTGAAACTTGTACGAGGTACGCTCCTTCCGTGGCCAGGGTCTCATGCCATGATCTGCATTGCTGTGCTTTCGGCCCTGGACTGCCAGGAGACTGCGAATAATAAATTGAGCTGTCAAGAAGTGCTGCTCCAAGGCAAGGATCCCGAGGGCAATGGCCACTTTGTCGGAGGCGTTGAGGGTGCCTGGATCAGGACAGGGGATCGCCTTTCCATCTTCGCAGTAGCCTGAAGGCGCCGAAGCTTTGTGGATAAATCTTGCAGAATGCCGACACGACATGCAACAAAAGCCAGATGCAATCTGCATCCTTCTTCATGCGAAGTCTAAGATATCAAGTGGATTGGCACCTAGCACCGAGTATGCGTAGTCGTTACAAAGGTGGAAGACGCAGTAGCAGAATGATAGCAGTGGAGGCAACGGTTTTAGGAAGAACAATCCTGCTGTTGGGGGGTTCCTGGAGCAGCAGCAGAAGAAGAGAAAGGAGAAGCCTCATTTGTGCGAAAGCATCATCTGAGTCACGCCAGGGCCCTCAAGCAGAAGCTTCCTCCTGCGGCCTGCAGGAAGTCGCTGCGGATGATCTGCGAGAAGCGGACTGGTTAGCATATCCACCTCGTGAATGCTCATTTCGCTGGTAACTATCTCGACGCCCGCCGAACTCGAACTGTCATTCTGAGTGAATGCACACAGATACAACATCAAAAAGCTCGGCGGGCGCAGTGGGCACAAAGAAGGCCCTGGGAATGCCAGTGCTTTCCGACCCCTGCGCGGGCCGCTAACAATTCAAGCAGCACTTTGCGTGAGGTTGGGGTTCTCGGGCACTGGCCTGGGGAATCCCAAGATGCATTGGGATGCTGGGATCTTCCGTGAAGCAAAGAGCTTCCATCGTTTCTGTTCTGCGCGTTTTCCGAGAGGCTCTTTGCAATCCTCTGACAAGCCCAGCCTGCCCAGCCTTTACGTGCTCGTAGCAGTCCATCATGAGTCGCCACTACGAGAGTCTATGTCCGGCCTTGGGCCTTGTCCGTAGCATACGGGGGTGGCCCCCATGTCTCACTTCGGCGGGCCACAGGCCACAGGGTAGCAGAAGTGGCATTGGCGACCGGACTAGCTCCGGTTCCTGCCAGAATCCGCCACAACTTTTGCGAACTCCTGCTGGAATCTTCCAGTTCTCTAAGTCTTAGCGTCTCAGACTTGTCAAGATATGCGTAGCTGACGCCCTTGTGACACGTTTGGCGGGAGAGTGCAAGAGCTGTCAACAGACAAGCTTGGAGGCCAGCTCCAGGAGGGGAGATGGGTTGGCCGTAAAATTAAGTCACTTAGTGACCGTCTTTGCTCACTTGGCTCCCATGACAATGACGCTCCTAGCGGAACATTGCTGTTGACGCCGCTGGCCCAAGACATGTGTTTCACCCTTATCATGATGGCCATCTGGTCGGTATCTTGCATTTTCCAGCCTGACTCCGTTGAAGGCCGGGTAGCTGAGTGGAGTCATGGCAGTAGGGTTGATGGAGTTGCTGTATGCAGGAGGTGGCCATGCAGAATTCCAGCTCGCAAAGCAGCGCAGCGAAGCTTGGACTGCCAAGGTTGCCCCCACCAAAACATGCCCGGTGCCCCGATGCCACTGGCGTCCTTGTCAATAAATGGCTGGCCGATGCTGCTGTCATGAGAGTAATTAATTAACCTCAAGGAGGCACAGGTTGGATTCTGCAAGAAGCTCGTAAGGCCCCCCTCGAGAGATATCGCACTTCTTCGATCAACGTACAGACGGGCACGTGCCGTGGAATGAAGCCATTCTTGCTCCCCAAAAAAGTCTTGGTGGTCGGACGCTGGGCAGATGTTGGAGTGCCTGAGGTGTCCATTTTAACCTGCGCAAAAGAGATGTGGCAAAGCGCATGGACCTGTTCCGGCTGGCCGTCCAAGCGATTTTTGCGGGTGTGTCGGAGGTCTTTCAGGACCAAGAACTGCTTCGCTTTGTAAAGGCACGCATACGGAAGGAAGGCCCTTCTAAGATTCTAGGGCATTCTAGGGTGCAAGCCCAAGGCAGTCAAGCAGGGAGAGTGCGCCAGCTTGCTTCTTGAGGAGCGCAAAAGGATCGCAGGCCTCGTCTTGCGCAGCTGGCCGACATAATAGCTCGGGGAGGAACAGCATAGGATTTGATGAAATGATGCCAGTCTTCAAGGCATTGAGCAACCCCCCCCCTCCACCCCGCCCAATGATCAGTGCCGGTCAGTAGATGCCATGATGCGTTGCAACAAGCACTGATGAAGCTTTCGTTGAACTTGCTTTTAAGCCGAGGCGCTGTGGCCACTGAGAAGTGCCGCCATGAAACCCGTGAGCAGATGGAAGAAGGCTTCCTGATGCGCCTGGGGCGTCCGAAGCTCAAGGCCCCAAAGCGCATGAGAAACCAGAAGACAGACCGACACGATGCACTGTCAGATCGCCTCTTTTGTGGTCACGGTAGCCTCTGTTCCTTGCTGCTGCAGCCACACAATTTGCATGCTGCGTTCAGGCTCCGGAGTCTCGTCACTTCAAGGCACCAGACGCTTCTGAGCAAGTTGTGCACCGGAGGTTTAGCAAGGATGCTGAACTAACCGTCTGCAAAGAAAAAACAGGATTTTAAATAAGCAATGGAAGTTTCCAAGCTTCAGTTTCTGCGTGTCTTCGGGCGGATCCCCAAAATTTGCAGCTCTGGAAACTGCCAATGTGGGCTGGGCGGAGGCGATCTTCCAATCGCTGGATGACCTCCTTCTCAACAACTTCCCCTTGGCGGGCGAGGCTCTGTGTAAGGCCTTCCTGCCTTCTCTCATTGTCTTGTCGAAATTCAACGAAATCTCAGATGTTTGAGCTGCGAGGCGCTCTTCTGCAGTGCAGAGGAGTTTAGTGAACGGTCTCAGGGGCTTGACCATTTGCTCAGATGCCAGAGCACCTTGGAGTCCAATATAAGGAGCCACGGGATGCTGGGGCCTTGGGCGGACACTTTTTACATCGGCGTTGCAGGACACATGAGTTGGCCAACACGGTTGTGTTCTCTTTGTCCCAGCTGCACAACCTCACCGAACAGGCATGCTGAGCAAAGAACAATTCACTTGGATGGGATGTGATATCAACAGTTCCACAGGCTGTATCTGAGCCGACTGAGTGGACGCAGTGGCAGACACCGAAACTGAAACGCCTAGGCCTAAGCCGCTGCGTTCCTGTTCCAGTTCCAAGTGCTATTGTGAAACTGGACGGATCGAAAGCCTGGCAATGAGTTGAGGCCGTGCATCGCCAGAGCTTGAGGAAGTTGAGGAACTCCAGGACAGAGACCCCCCAGCGGTGGAGCCTGGTTCCCCTCCTGAGCCGGACGAGCCAGACCTCGAGACGGTGCAGACGGCTGTTCTTCCTCTGCGGCTCCCGAGCATCTTCGGCACTTCTTCCCGCAACTCCACGGACCAGGCAACAGAAGAACCCGCAAAGGAGCCAGGTAAGCTCGTGGCATTGGCAGGATCCCAGATGTTTGATTTCTCGGTAAGAGGCTCAGCGCTTGAAGCGCTTGAAGCACCAAGCAAGCGCACCAGCCTCCAATACCTGCCGGCAGCATCGCAAACGCCAAGCTCCCAGCCGCGCGGGTCGAGGTCCTCCTTGAAGTCGGCGAGACTTGCAGGCCTTGCAGCACCAGGCCCTCCAGGTGCGGGGACTCGGCCCGACCTCGACCTGAACCTTGCCCCAGATGTGGCGTCCTTCTCCCTGCCTTCGCCCGGGAAGTTAACGGGGAGGCCACAGATGGATGGAAAGGATGGGACCAGAAGGGGCACAAGGGAGCGCTCACCTTTGCCGGCCCCAGACCCGGTGGCGTTACCGGAAATGATGCGGATGTCATCAAGATTTCAGGGAGAGCTGCCTGAGCTGACGGCCACGAAGAAGAAAAGGTCCTGGAAGCGAGAGCGCCTGCGCGGCCTAGTCTCCACTGGTCAGAGCATTTCCGGGATTCCCCCAGCTGTGGAGTGGATTTTACCTCCTGTCTTTTCGGCTGACCCATCAATGCGAAAGACTGGGATTTTCAACTCACCGGCTGAGATTGGCAAGAGGCTCAAGGCACGAAGCGGCAAGGGTAGATCTCGGCAGTCTGCTGCTTCGATTCCAATTGACACAGGGACGTGCCTGGCAGATTTGCATTAATTGTGTTTGTGTTATTGTACAGCGCTGCAAGTTGCTGTCGCCGACTTTTACTGCTGTTGCTTCATACTCATTTCGGGCACTGGGAAGGCTTCCGGAGCTTCGCTGCGCCCCGGCCACTTACCACCCCAAAGGGGAGGCCGATTACTACCCATTTAACACCCTAGCTAGGCCACAGCCCTCGTTCAGTTTGTTGTTGAGGTGTGCAGGCGTGCGAGCCACAGGGCATGTGCACAGAGAAAAGCTACAGATTTTGGTCGGCATGTCAACGTGTATGAGCTGACGTGATTAGACTGAAAGCGCACAGGGTGGCCTCTAGCAGTCTTGGAGCCTCAAGTCTCATCACATGTTTAAGGCCGCGCCTAGCCAGTAGCCGCCAAATCCAACACCCCAGATCTCGAACGTGAGTCGCGGACTTGTAAGGAAATCAAACCCCAAACTCTCATGGCTTCCATGTCGAAGTGGTCAAGGACGCAAGCCTCCCAACCCGAGCCCACAATTACAAAAAAACCTATGCCAAAAACAGAACACCCATGTTGGGACCGCAGTCCAGATAAATGCCAATGGAACAGCTACGGATCGGGCCGAATCGGGCCTGGCGCATATTGCGAAACTAAGTTTCTTAGACTTAGCCTTTGTGCTTCCGAACGCTGTCTTCAATTTCTTCTTTGATTCTGAAGCTGAGGCTTCAGCTTTCAGCACAGGCACCCATGGAAAGGGGACAGATGCCTCTCCACACCCCACAACCTTGCAAGAAAGGCATCATACTCCGCACAGCACCTGTAGAGAACCACTCAAATTTTCAGGATCACTTTTGCGCACTTTATAAAGCCCTCATTTTGAAGATGGGTGCCGAAGGTGAAGGGAACTCGGGTGAATTCTCTGGGAATCCTGCCGGAGCTTCGGTAGGAGGTACTGGCAGCAGAAAAGGCTTTGTCTTAGCCGGCTTGGAAGAGGTGGACATGTTTCAGCGGTGTTGGGCTTGATTTGATGCTTCTTGAGCAGCCATAAAAGGTCTGAAGCCTACCCATAGGCCCAAAGGCGAGACTTGTCTCGGCCATGGGTTTGTGTCGCAGCACTCATATCGCTGACTCCTGCAATGATACGAGCATAGCCGCGAACTTTGTAACAGAATTAGTTGCTGTTTGTTGCTCCGATCTAAAAGCTAGGACCGCGCAACCTGCAATTGCCGTTTGGGCCTTTCCCTCGCAGTGTGCAGCATGCGGAAGATGCAACAGCCCCACAATACGTAAGTGCCCACCCCTACCTACTTGCTTGGCACTGAGAAATGTGGCTGACCACTATCCAATGAGAGACCTAGAACACATGCAAGCAGGCAACCTCAGGCAACCTCAGGCAACCCCCAGCTCAACCTCACCTTTAAGAGCTCATTGAGCGTGCGTGCAGCTATGGATGCGATAGCACTGGTGCCTTTGGCAGTGTTTGTCGCCCAGGGCTACAAGATTCAGGCGGCCGGCGGAGGCCACGACTGATGAAGTGTTCGGGAGTTGTGGGGTGCAACAACGGCCTATGTTGCAGCAGACCTGTCTATGCAGAACTTGCTGTTGCTAACAGAGAGAGTGATGACCAGGTCCTTCTTCTCCCAATGCCGTGCGATGACTCCTCGGTGGTTGAGGCCAAGTGAGTCATGTACTTGTACAAGGAATGACTGCGGGTTTGCTATCGGAAGCTGAAACCTCATGCACTGCTCCAGGAGTCGGCCACGGATGCCGTAAAGGACTGCCACATACTGCCTCGATCTTGGGGAGCGAGAATCGTCATGCGAAGATATTGATAAGGTCAGCAGTGAACAAATCGCCACCCAGAAGAAAAACAGTTTCCGGGAACAGCATGTGAAGCTGGTGTGAAAGTCTGCTCGCGGAAAGTACTTGCAGATTTCGCGCTGCTGCGATTGCTCTCGTATCTTTAGTCAAGTCTTGCGGAGGAGGCCCCTACTGCACCAGCGCCGGATGAGGCCAGGGGCTTCAACTCTCCACGAGTTGACAAAATGCCGTTGACAAGTGTGTGGGGAGAATGAGCTCTAGCCAGGGCACGGATGAGGCCAAAGCAAACAAGGCTGTGGCCTCCTGCCAGGGCGCCCCATGCTTCTAAGATCTTCTCACGGCCTCTTGTCTATTGAATTTGGTCCTTTCCTTTTCTCCCGACCGGTCAGTGCTGCCCGTGGGCTCACAATGGCATATGGCAAAATTGTCACAGGCCGTCGACAAGCAGCTCATGAAAGAGGATGAGCATGCCCAGGCTGGCACATGATTTAAAATTGATCAGAGTGCATGCGCAGCGGCCCAGATCACAGAAGAATGGCTCGAACTTAAGATCTGCAGCTTCAAAGTCAAGAAGCCTATCCTGAAGCTGCAGGCGCCAGAGGAAGCTGGGCCTGACACTGGGGCAGATGATGAAGACATCAAGGGTCTTGAAAGCAAGAAGGACCGCAAGGAGAGTGCTGAAATGTTCTCGGTTGATGTCATCTATGTATCGCACCAGAGGGATGAGTTGCACTCAGAGTTATCTGTTCTGGTGCGCAGGGCGAACAAAGCGCATACGTTGCGTGTATGAGCCGGAGAAACGCTTGTAAGTGCTTTGCAGGTGTGTAGTGTGAACGCATGCCACCCTAGTTAGGTCACGCAAAAAGCACCAGTAGCTGGTCCCATCAGTAGGTAATCTTTTTCAGGCCAGTCATGCCAACAGGCTGACCCATGCGTTGCCAGACACAGGAGCACGCGGAAGACAGTATGCCGCAGGCGCCGGGGCCGGAGGTTAGCGGAGCTGCTGCTACCGATCCGGGCTCGGATGCCTTGGCGGACAACTTGCCTGAGAAGGCCCAGCGCTGCCAGCACTGCCCAGAAGAGCTCCATCTGTTTCTTTACGATGCGGTCTGAGCTCATGACTCTTCTTCTGTCAATCCCTTTCTGGGCAGCAAATAGATGCATTCTTTATATGTATTGGTATGAATTTCCAAGTGCGCGGGCGCTTCATGTACCTGCCAGGCCGCCGATCAAACAGACGAAGCCGCTGCGCCCCAGCTATGCATTTGGCTTGAAGCCCCCGCGGCTGATAAGATGAGTGCCAAGCACAGACTAGCTCTTAAACTTTCAAGCATCCATTTCGACCGGCTCTTTGCAATCTGGCACCTCGCGAACGCAATGACTGGCTTGTGGCAGCTTAGATCCAGGCAGAGGCTGCAGAGGCTGGAGAGGCCGAAGCTTCCGCAGCGCCTGCACCGCCTGATGCGGAAGCCAAGGGCGAGGCGGGCTCTGCAAAACAGCACCCCTCCTTTAGCGGAATGCCTCGCCACTACAACCAGGCGAGCCCAAGCAAAGACCCGCAGAAAGACAGCGAAGATCAGAAGGATGAGAAGACCGAAGTGAAGGACACAGCCCATAACGTACCAAATCATGCCATGCTAGGATGACTTTCATGGCTGAAGGTAAGTTCTTCCTGCCGCCAGATCTTTACTTCTGTGGAGTGGCAGGTTCCTGCCGCCGATGCAGCATCGGGCGTTAAGGATGCGGCTTTCGCAGATTGACAATTCTGACGAGTTCTTGCAGTGTCACACGAGATCTATTGCTCCCCAGGTGGCTTCTGACGCGGCAGTGGTTCTAGGAGCAGAGGATCCAGACGCGCCTCGCATCAATATACAGGGGCCATGTGTGGATGCCGCGGGATATCTACTGGAAGATTCGCGGACTTGGGTGAATCAGTCCCTGTCGGCGCAGACCTTGTTGTCTTCTCTTGCAGCGAGTCTGTTGATGTTGTGTTGCTGGAGGCTACAACTCGCACAGATAACGAGGCAACCTCTTTTTTCTGTTAGTTGCAGCATGGCATCGTGCAGCTTGTTGAAGACACGTTTTCTCAGGCTGGAAGTGCTCCAGGAAGCCCGGCCTCGGGGAGCCCTCCGGGAAGCCCCTCACAGCCTCTGGCTTTGGCCAGTCCAGGCAAGGGCGAGGGCCAGGACGAGGGCCAAGGCGGCCAAGGCAGCCAAGGCAGCCAGGTGGTCGAGGCGCTTGGAAAGCCGGAGTTTTTGTTTTTTGTTTGTTTGTGTCGTGCAAGTCCTGCAAAAGTAGCCATGAAAGGTCAAACCATACAGCCCTGAGGATGGCCCTGTTGATCAGGACAAGGCCAGTAAGAAGTGCCGAGAGACGAGACTTGTATTGCTTGAAGGCTTGATCTTGCTTGCGAGGCCAAGGAAGAGCAAATGAAGCAGCTAGTGACTTATCTGCTTAGCTTGGTTTGCAGATGGCCGCAAGATTGCCTTAGAGCCCAGTGCCCCGATGAGCCTGGATTTCGATATTTTTTAAATCCTGCCCGGTTGGGGGAGCTGCATAGAACCAGGGCCTAGAACCAGGGGCTTCGCTTTAAATCGACTCAATATAAGTGGTATGTTTCAATTTCAGCTTAAGTCGTGCGCATGCTCCGCCTTGCCACTAGTGCCGACCGCCTCTGGTTGCTCTCTAATGGAACCTGCTTGCTTGTCTGGTGGGTATAGACTGACTACGTCGTGCGCTCTTGATTGAACAACTCTCCCACTTCGGGACATCTGCTACAAGTTTGTTTTTGTCGTTTGACGCTTTGAAGTGGACTCGACCTGAGAACAATTTGTTCTTACCTGGGATTTGGTGGGTGTCATTTCGAAGGGAAGCCTCCTGTAAGTCAATTCCTGTGTATGTGGCATTGCTTAGGAAAGTTTATGGACTTTTAGCTTAGCAGCGACCGCTACCGCAGGTGAGGTCCTGTTGCTTTCAGCTTCCGGAGACTTTTGAGAAGGAACTCTCCAACAGTTTTTTTTCCTTTTTTTTTATGCGGGTGTGTGCCTTCAGCAGGAGGTCTCATAGAAGCTAGCCTTTTCGAATTTGATTTATTTTTTACTTCTTTTTTTTTGTGTGTTTTTTGAAAAGCGCCATCTCCAATCAGTTAGGTTCTGGTCAATTTGTCCGGTAGCTTTTGAAAGGGGCCTGTCCCATACGTTTCCTGCTTGCGGATGTGCAAAAGCGTCTAAATGAGTAGAATGGGGCCTTGAGTTGTACTTTCCTGCTACAAATCGGGGCGTGGACCTTCCTTGGGTCGTTGCAAATCCCGCGTAATGCGTCCTACATATTGTGCAGCTACCGGGTCCCTATACATGGTACGTTTTCAAGCTTGCCCAACACGCAAACCATAATCTCTAAGTCTGTAACGCCTGCTGAGCGCAATGCGCGTCCCTGAAGTCTGCAGCTAAGGCTCTACAGCCCCCCCCCCCCTCGCCCGCCGCCCCCCCCGCCCCCGCATACCCGCTGAATACGATGCCCGTTACGACTACCATCTTGAAGCCTTGCCGTGGTAGGGAGTGCAAGCCTAACATTAGTTCTAAGACACGTTCTTGCATGGAGAAACCTTGCAATGAAATCCAAGCATTTACGAGAGAGCACAAACTCTTGTATGAAGAAAGCTTGACATTCAGACATTGTCTGCAATGGTTTTCCCATGGATTAGAAGCGTAAACTGGGTTCTGAGACGTATCTGACAAAGAAACATCGATGTAATCCAACCAGTCCAATCCAAGGCTGAGTTGGAAGCTGCCTTGGCTCCATTTGCAACCATGGAGCCGAAGGATCCGAAGGCTTCGGATAGCTTGGAGGAGCCTCATGGGCAGATTCCAAACGAGGAACTCCAGTTGCGGTCTGTTTCATGAGATGATGCCGGTGCCGTGCATTGAGCAGTCTATACGGAACAGAGATGCGCCAAAAAGCTTAAAAGGGAAGACCAGTGGTGCCAAGTCCAGGATGCAAAGGCCGATGAAGTCAAAGCAGACTCAAAGGCCTTGAAGGAAGAGGAGGCAGGGGTTGAGAGCGAAGCTGAGACATAGCAAATAGCTTTCCACAAGTTTCCACCTTCCAGGCTGAAACTCGAGAAAGCAAGGACTGCAACTTGGCCTCAAACTGGGCTTAGATGTTTTTCGGTCCCGCATTGCCCAGCAATCTGCCCCAGCTTAGTTCTGCAAGGGACGCACTGAGGGGTGGCTCTAGCTAAACAGCAATGCGGAAGCGTGCCGTCATGATTGCAGTGAAAGCAGCTTAGGTTTGTTTGGCAACCTGTTGCTCGATGAAAAAGGGACAGAGGCAAGAAAGAAAGCAGCGAAATCAGCTCGCGAAAGAGAGGAGAAGGCCCCTGTCGGCGCGAGAAAGCTTAGAGAGGCGAACAGTGCCTGGACAATTTGAGATCATCCCACTCACAGGTCATAGGTCTCAAGCGGGGCAGTACTTGTCGATGCTTGTCCTACACCAGGTCCAGAGCTGATATTGATTGCCAGTGCAAGGGTGTTGCTCTTGCATTATCTCTTGTTGTTAATATCTGCCCACCAACCATGTAGCTAACGTTTCGACGCCAGCTATCGACTTGTGACTCACTACTGCTTCGCATTTGCAATACCGCCTTGAGTATGAAGTGGCTTGGGCAGAGGCAAGGAGATCCCAGAAAGCTCGGGGCGGTCCTCTGGACATTTAATTTTCCTGCACTTGCATTGCAGGTTCTCTAACCGACGGCAGGCCGCACCAGGCGACCTTCAGCCAGAACAAAGAAGCTATGGAGACACAACAGCTCCAGTGAAACGCTACTTATTAACGCTACTTCTTGCTATGAAGCCCTGGATAACGTTTGGCTATATGGCCAAGCGAATAGGGGTTTTCTCGAAATTGGCAGAGTGCTTCTCAGGAGAAAGAGAACCAGAAGGAAAAGGATAAGAAGAAAGAGCTGCGAGCTTGGTCTCGCAATCGAAGCCGCAGTCGGCCTCGTAAAGGGCGCTCCTCGTCGAGCAAGAGTCAGAGGCGCAACAAGAGGAAGGAAAGGCTGAGCCCCAGAAAGGGCCAAAGGGGCCGCTCACGAGATCATCGTGTGCGTGAACGAGACCGCAGGGAGAAGCGTTTTTCTCCCAAGCGCTCTTCCAAGCAGTCGCCAAAGCGATCGCCCAGGCGCTCTCCGAAGCGGTCCCCGAAAAGATCTCCTAAGCGGTCTCTAAGGCGGTCGCCCAAGAGGTCGCCCAAGAGGTCGCCCAAGAGGTCGCCCAAGCGGTCGCCCAAGCGGTCGCCCAAGCGGTCGCGAAGTGGCAAGCGCGGCCGTGTGTCTTCACCAGCAAAGCGTCGGCCCACAGCTCAGAAGAGTGCAAAGGCAGGCTCATCTTCGGTGAGTCGAGATCGTGTGAGGCGGCCGTCACCTGCCCAGAAAAGAAAGGAACTGGTGAAGAGCAAGGTGAAAGCCAGAAGCTGCAGAAGCTCTAGCTCGGACACCAAGCTGAGCCGCCGAAAGGCAGAAAAGAAACCACGTGCCCGAGGAAGTAGCTCGCCAGGCTCGCCATCTCCAGCCAAGGTTGCCAAGACAGCCAAAACAGCCACAGCCAAAGGTTTGCCTAAGACGAAGCCACAAACTGGTGAGACGACCGGGCGGAAGTGTCAACGCAGTCCATCGCCCCAAAAGCCGGCCAAAGCAGATCAGAAGAAGCCTTTGAAGGCAACAAAGAAGCCCTTGCCGTCCTCATCGTCTAGCTCGCCCTCCCCGCCTCCCCGGCCCAAACCAAAGGCCACCAACGCCATTCCGGTAAAGAAAACCATAGCAAAGAAAGCAGCCAAACAGTCCGAGTCCTCTTCGGCCTCATCTACATCGCCGGCAGCACCGCCTGCGAAGGTGACCAGGCAAAAGAAGCCAGCAAAGCCAGCAGCCAAGCAGGACAAAGCCAAAACCAAATGCAACGCCACTCGTCCAGCCCCAAAAGCGAAATCAGCTGCGAGCACCAAAGCACCCAAACCGACCACAGAGCCGAAGTCTGGCCCATCCGCTCCACAGGCAAAGCCTTCTGCAGCAAAATCGTCCCCTCCACATCCACCTGCCAAAGCTGGCGTGCCGAAGTCCAGCGCCAAGGCCAAGGAGAAGCTACCTGAAGACAAGCCCAGCGCTCCTGCTAGGGAAGGGGAGAAGGTCAAACGGAAGAAGAAGAAGGTATCAAAGACGACTAGCGCCGTGGCCACAGCCCCTGCCAAAGCAGCTCCAGAGATTAAAGCAGCTGTGGCAAAAGCCAAAGCGATCTCATCCCCGCAAGTTGTCGCAGTGCGGGCCCCACCCCTCGCAGACAAGAACCAAAACGGCCGAAGTGGCCAAAGTGGGAGCGACAGTGATGTGGAGATCGTGGCGGCAGACATCAACTGGTCCTCATCCGACGTGGCTCGTCGGTCACAGCGTGGCCCCAAGAGACGGGCACCAGAAGAGGTTTTGGCCGCTGCGTTGATGGATGTTTTGCTTCCAAAGCCAACCGGCCCAGATGCAGCAGACCTGTCCCCAGCAGAAGCTGCTCTGCTCAGGAGGCAGCAGATGCGGAGGCGGCTCTCTGAGGCTTCGAACGGAGATTGGGCGCAGCCTGTTGATGTCACTGCCCCGGCACCACCTGAGGCAGACGAGGAGCCGCCTAAGGTCAGTGCAACCTCTGGGCCCAGCATCAGCGATGATGGCGCAGATGGCAAGAGCGAGAAGGGAAGAGACGTCCTTGAGCAGAAGTTGAAGAAGACACAGCAGCAGCTTCTGCGGCTTCAGCTCGGAATCAAGCAGCAACAGCTGGAAAAGCTTAAAGAGCGAATGCACGGAAAGCGACCCAAAAACTTGTTGTTGCCTGCGCGGGCCCGGCGTCTTCAAGCTCCTGTGGCCATTTCCGGAGCAAGCCCGGAGCCCTCGAAGCCCCCAACGGTCCACCAAACATCGGCATCAACCGCAGCCCCTTCCAGTCCTAAGAATCGCTCTGATCAGCGTGCCCCTACCCCATCAGCCCCATCAGCCCCATCAGCCCCATCACCACTTGAATCCATCCCTCCAAGGTCCCAGGCAAGCCAGGCAAGCCAGGCAGCTACAAAGCCTGCGCCGCCTCCCACACTGCCTGTGCCCCCAGTAGATCCTGCACTCCGACCTGCAGCTTTGAAGAAGAGCCTCGCGGATGCCTACTTTCAAAAGAAAGCTCAGGCAAGACCATCCTTGCAGTTTGCAACATTTCTGCGGAAAATGTCGCAGGTGGAGAGGCAAAAAACTTTGCTTCAGGAGGCCTTGGCCAAGCGTAAAGAGCGGGCGGGCAAGGCAAGGCAATTGCCATGAGTGAATGTTGCAAAAGAGCGCCATGTTTGCCGCAGGTTTTTCAATGTTGGAACATAGTTAGGTATTGGGGCACTGCCACCTTGGTGCTGGTGCCGAGAACACTGACCGATTATCCACTAGTCTTGCTCGGTCGCGCAAGCGGTGCACATCCTCAAGCAGGCATACACAGCGTATACGGTATACATAGAAGCACTTCTGTGGCAGCAGCCTTTGCGTGCCAAAGCTCTCTGACAGATCCCCGGCAGGCACCCAAAAGCTCTGGTGACGCGGCAACCACGGCATAGGCACTTTTCCTGCTAGGAAAATTTATGCAATGCAATACGATAAGTGCCTATAGAGTGCTACAGCCATTTCATGAGGATAAAAACCTGAGAACCTCCACATTAGACTTCCTGAGGGTGAAGTGCAGCCACATCGCCTGTGCCAAGCAGCTTGGCAGCTGAGAGAGGCGCAGTCGACGCAGTCATGGATGGATGGATTATTGGGATTAAATAGGGGGATATATGTGGGTTATATTGGGATAATGGAAAATAAAATGGAAATTACTACTGTATAATAGATTATATAGGGGTAATATGATTTAGTGAGGATTTCGCATGGATCGCCTCCCATGGATGCAACACTGGTAGAGTCTACGCTACATGCAAATACCGATCACTTCCTTCCTGTGGAGGTGGTAGCCTGCGAGCCGTTGTCCATACAACATACTGCTTACCAGCCACAAGCCCAAAAAGGATTCTCCTGCGGTCCGCAAAAGTGGGAAGAGGCAAGCAAACCCGTATGTCAGGTTTTGAGGGGCGCAGGACCTTCAGCCCACCATCCACGCATAAGTAGTCCGCGGGCATTGGCCTTTGTTCCTTTCAAGCCGCTCAAGCCGCCTTGGCGGCTGTTAGTCACTGTTAGTCTAAATGGCTTTCTCCTTGACCAATGAGTAGCAAATTGAAGAGCCTGTGACAGTAGCAGAAGCACAAGTTCGCAAGGTGCGAAGAAACTTGTGTTTAGCATAGGGAAGCTCAGTGCGTACTTTGAGCCTTTGTTAGAGTCTCTGCCTTCGAAGGAACAGCTTGCACGTTTCATGTGAGGGAGATGGATTCGGTAATCAGCTCTTGGGATGATTCTGGACAACTTGCAATGCAGTTCGCCCATGATTACTTTTCATAACTTGTGATTATGAATAGTATTCTTTTTACTGCTAGCGGACGACGACTGCTACTACTGTTCCCTATTCGCAGCCGAGCCTGGATACTTCTTTGCGGGGTACCTGTTTGAGGCACGAGCGGTCCTCACTGCAAGACACGATTGTTCGGTTTGTTCGGTTTGTGCATGCTATACACATTTCCTTTTCAATGTCAGCTTGCAGCTGGCAGTTTGCGTATATCCTCCTCAGCCTCCTGGACTTAGGGCCGTGATTTTCTTTGGCGTTCAATGGGTCTGAAGTTCTTAACCGACTTGTGCGGCCGCTTGCCGGACAGAGCCGTCACTGAAAGGCGGGGAGTTGGCCTTGAAGTCCAGTAAAGCATTATAAACATCGCAGTATAACTTAGCCTGCAATGTTCTAGAGTACCAGAATACGTTAATTGTAAGCAGATGTGTTACGACGACAGCCTACAGGAACAAGAAAAGAGGCAAAAAGGTGCAGAGGGGAGGGCAGAGAGGAGGGAGCAGAAAGGGGCAGCGAACATGTCAGATGTACAGAGCGCTAATCGTCGAGAGATACGACGAGGGTCGCAGCAAGGAGCAGATTTCACTATGAATTTGTGGCACTTCCCACAAGGAGTAGGCGGATAAATGCTTTCTTCCGCTCTCCAATGCTCACGTAACGTACTCCTGGCTCCCTCCAAACACGCTCCCTGCCCGGCATCATTCTCGAAAGCCCGCAACGTTTTCGCGGCTCCCTCTCCACAATTATGCGAGACTGTCAGCAACTGCTCCGTGGTTTACAGCTCTCAAGGCGCCCGAGTCTTGGAATCAGCTGCAGGCACTTTGATTCATTTCAGGAGTTTTTCTTCATGGATAGCACAGACATGTTCAACGGCTGCAGCCAGATTCTGGCCTTCGCGGGCCTACACGAGTGATAAGAGACTTTAAGAAACATTAATAAGTTCAAGTGGAAGTTGGCAGTACCTTCTCCCAGTGCAGTTTCACCAGCTGCCATGGAGGACAGCTTGTGTGGATTGCATTCTTGCATTCGAGGGAGACCTGCTCCTCTGCGTCAAGTGCAGGACTCCTTGATGGCCGGATCAAAAGACTCACAGCTTTCTCCCATAGCAAATTCCAGCCGACGCAACATTGCGTGGCATGATGTCCTCGAGACCCACGGCTGCATAGAATGCTCGCAGGTTGAGGTCAGCAAGAAGTGCTGTCTGATGCAGACCGGCTGGCAGGATCTGCAAGAAAGGCTTCGCCAACAAAATGCCACCTTGCTAAAAAGCGCACTTCAAAGCTGGCTCAGCTGGCTCCCTCCAGCCTGCTAAGGAGCAGCATGAGCCAGGAGATCCTGAGCGAAGTGCGGCTCGAAGTCGACCAGAGCGCCACTGCGCTTCGCAAGGCCTTCTCTTACACTTCCGCAGATGTTTGCGCAGACTCCTAGTGTTGCTGGCCAAGCACAGGATGTGGCTGGCATGTTGGAAGCTGGGCACAGTGCAGTTGTGCTGAGATTCGCCTAACTCATGCTCTGCTTCCTCTTGGGTTTGGTCCAAGGAGCAAAGGGAGCGGACGGGCAACGAGAAGCTCGCCAATCTTGAGGCCAAGATGGAGACGGTAGTGGACTGGGCCAAATGCGGTTACGTAGACTTCAGATGCTTGGCTCTTTTATTGAATTTGCTAACTGGCAAGTGTGGGCCTTTGAAACGGCTGTGCAGTTCCGTGCTACAGATCTTTAGTTCCTATGACATGCGCAAGATGATTGCAGCCCGCCAGCTTCAAGAATCATGTCACCCCAGGCAAGTTCGATTTCACGCCAGTTCTGGATGAGCACCTAAGCAGCAATTCTCTGAGCCAGAGTTGCTGACACACGATGAGTTTAAGGACTACTCGTATCTTAGCCTGGTGCTTTTTGCAGATATGTTTCGGTCGAATCCTGCTAAGGATTCGCAGCAGCGAAACGCTGCACACAGAAAGTACTCGCGCAATCTCGCAGCGGCTGGATGAGAGCTTCGTGCTCATCAGCTCCTCTGCTAAGACTCTCCGAGGTCTAGACTGAAGTTGGGCAAAGTTTGGAGGTCCCCCCATCCAGCCCCTGCCCGGGATCTCCATTTTGCCGAGGCAGCACCCTGGAAAAGCTGTCCAGTCAAGCAGAGGAAAAGGACCTGCAAGCATCCGCAAGCATCCGCAGCTGCTTCATTTGGCGAAGGTCTCGTAAACTGTGTATGCGTCGAAGTGCAGGACACCAAAGTTGAGAAGCTCAGGGAAAGAGTCCAGGCTTCTGAAGAGTTGCTGCAACAGGCGCAGCATTTTTTGAGAACTGAGGTCTTAGCTGCTCTACTGAACCGGAAGAACCCGCTCAGGTTTCAGAGACCCTGCAGTCCAGCTCCAGGGATCTCTCCGAGAAAGTTGGGCAGTTCCAGGAGCAGACTGGAACTCGAAACAAGGAGCCACCTGGCTCCAGAGGGAATACTGCAATTGGTAAGTGCCACCTTAGCATTCGGTGCCCAAACGAGAGAGTGTTGGCGCTCATAGCGCTCCCTTTCGCCACTGGACAGCTTGGGTCTGAGCTGACAGTCTGACCGAGGCTGGCTTCAAAGCTGGGCTTCGTGGCCGACCGCTTGCACCACCCGCTGCGGATTGATGACAAGGCACCCAGAAGATCAACGTGCTTAGTTCTACATTCTATACTGCGCCATTTTGGAAAAGTCACTTCAATCCCACGGCTTGGCAGGATGAGGGCAGCTGTTCACACATAATTGAGTGGGATGATGTTTTGGGCAGCTCCAAAAGCTCAGGAGCTCCGGGAGCAGGTGCAGAAGTTAGCCGAGGTGCCTTCCTTTTGTCGCTCAGTAGCTCTCCTCGCCATGTTTTGTTGTTGAGTCGTCTTTTGTCTTTTGTCAATTTTGTTGGGATTGAAGAGGCACAAGCCGCGGACACCAACACCATGCTGGGCGAGCCGCTGTGCCAAGCACGGATTTGCAGGGGGGCGGCCCTTCATCCAGAAGTCCCACATTAGTTGAGCACCTCAGGCTGCTGCTTGTCAGTCATTCTTGAGTCAGGATTGGAAAAATCCAGCAGGCAATGAATCTGGATTTTGTGAAGACAGTGCAGGCCTTCTTAATTCTTGGTTGTTGGGTATGTGTGTCTGGTCACGTGCTAGTGCAGTCGTTGCATGATGTGCCGTGAGACAGGGCAGTGGTGGCGAAGAATGGTCGGCATCGCTTCCTGCAGTCGCGGTGGCGATGGAGGCAACCATACACTCCATGCCGCCGGATATGCTGAAGCTTGCCTCAATGGTTGGTGAGGAGCGAAGTGTTGAAGATCAGACCGAGTGGAGAATGTTGATGTGCACAACTGGTAAGGAAGTCCGGGGCACGAACCCCTTTGGCGCTAGAAAAAGCCGAGAGGAAGCGCGTGCGGGTGCGAGAACCTTGGCATCCAGCTGAGGGCCAGGCTTCCCCCCCCACCAAGGGAGGTCCAAGGTGTTGGACTGCTGAAGCTAAGGAGTTTTTCTCGCAAACGGATACGGTGGAGAAGCAGGTCAAAGGGGTGCAGACTGCAGCTCGGCTGTCATGTTGCCATGCTCATCCGCCTTTTTTTCTGAGCGTATAGCAATACATTCTATACTCGGCTGTAGCCGTCGACCCAGTTTATGTGAAGCCAAGGACCCCAAGATGTGTGGAGCTCACTCGGATTCTGCATTGCTATTCAGCCTTGCCACTCCTCTCCCAGGCTGGAAAACAAAAAGAAGAACACGCTGAAGCCCAGCAAGACAGCTTCGGGCCCGGACTGCCTTCAGAGAAGTTGCAGTTTGCAAGGGGGGCATCACTCAAGGCAAAAGACAAGATGGCAAAAGGCATCACGGCCTCAAGAACGAGAGGCTCCAATGGTCTTCTCTAGATTCCCTTATGTTGCGACACCGCCAGGCTTCACGGATGCAGATGCCCTGAAGAAAAAAGCCAGGCAACGTCTCGGTGGGTTTCTGACAGCCAGGGCACTCCAAGTTTCTTTGAGGTTGTGATTAGCTCTGGATCTTGGCTTACCCGCGCCTGTGCGCTGACTGCGCATCACGTGTGATGTACAGGCAAGCGTTGATGAAGCCGCCGTACAATGTGATGGATTTCTATCATGAGACCGGCTTCTTCCAGAGGCTCGCACTCAAGCCGGACCAGGTAGCGCTGCACATTTTTCATGAACCTTGAAGGATTGCGCGGAGCACTGCCTTCGACTGGCTCAGTCTCTTCATGGTCACCCGGCTTGAATGCAGCTGGGTCACGGCCCTTCAAGATGTTCCAGCACTCACTGCACGCAACTCATCGCCACTCCTTGTGGCTTTGGGGGGTCCTGACGCCCGCTGACGCCCGAGGTTCTGCTGAATGCGGGTTGGATTGCCGTGGATGCAGACCTCAACAGTGCGGCAGTGATCACCAACGCCAGCCCTCCTTTCATTCTGGCAGCTTGGGCAGCCTGAGAACCATGAGAGACTCTCAAAACAGTGAAAGCTTACTCAAAAGGTGCTCGTCTCACTTAGGCAGACCCCCCTGCTTACAAGTTGGTAGCTGTCAGCGCACGCATAGCAATATGCAGGGATGTGACGGTTCCTTGATTCTGCTTGAGGGGTACTATGCGACATGAGCGAGACCTACCGTGCTTTGCTCCCTATGCCAGTTAGATCAGTGGAATGATGGAACGTAATTTTATCACTATGCGGATGTAGACGGGTGCTAGATTCCTCTCGGAATGAAAGGGGCCGCAGAAATCCAGGTTGAGAACCTCTTTTGCACCTACTTCTTTGGCGAGGTGTTCATTCGCTTCATGGCATTTGCCGAGAAGAAGAGGTGCCTTCGTGACAGCCCCCTGGGCTGCATGGTAATAGGTAACCATGCAGGGTGCACATGGTAGACGTGCGGGGTTTGAGCCTTTAGCCCCTTGAAGGGAAGCAGTTGTTGCCAGCCTTTGCTTTAGCAAATGGTTGCCCAGTCCATTCCTTGAAGGCTGGTTCGTGTTTGATTCGATGTTGGTGTTCACCATGGTCGTAGAGACCTGGATCATGCCGATCATCGTGCTGGGCTTCAACCTTGATTTGGCCAATGCTCTGGACATTCTGAACCAATTTTCTTGGGCACATGTTGCTGGCACTGAGCCAAAGGCCCAGGGGTGAAGGGCTGCACTGCAGGACCTCTCTACTCTGCGGATGTTCCGCATGGTGAAGCTGCTCCGGCTTTCACGCATGGCCAAACTGCTCCGTGCAGTGCCTGAGCACCTTGGTGCTGCATTCGGCGTTGCTATCTGCGCATTCGAAGTTGCACTTGAAACAGGCTCACGATCATTATGAAGGGCATCATCCTGGCCACCAGGTCCGTGAAGCTCAGCTGAGAACAGGGATGGCTTCATGCAGCGAAGTGGCGAAAGATGTCTGATGTGTGTGTGTGTTTTTCAAGCACGGTCTGTTCGCACTGAGTGTGGTGTTCTTTGCGCTTTGGATGATGATCATCTACGTCTTTGCTCTGGTGCTGCGGCAGCTGACCGAGGGCCAGACAGTGGGAATGCAGCCGCTGGCTGGCAAGCCTGCAAGGAATGCCACGTTAGGTGTAACGCTTTTCACTAGGTGACGCTAGGTGTCATCGCTGGGTGTAACCGCTAGGTGTACCGCTAGGTGTAACCGAGGCTTGCTGTGTCTTGGAGTTCCCTTCATTGGAAAGTGCCGGAGGTATTTCTCCAACGTGCCGCAGTCTGTCAACAACTTGCTCCTGTACGGCATCCTGCCAGACCAGCGAGAGATCGTCACCACCCTGGGTCTCTTGCCCTGAGTATGATTTTTACACATTAGAGAGTAGAAGAGTAGGCGCGTCGATGTTTTTGCGTCTCGGTTCAGCGTTCCTCTGGGAACTAGATAGGGGCCGCGGATTGAACGAGATTGGCCATCGTTTCCTCTGCAGTAAGAGCCCAGCACGCATTCCAACATGGCGAACGGGATCATGTGATTAAGTCAATGCAAGCTCCAAGATCGCGAACGAGATGAGGTTGTCGCCCACATGTTGTACTTGGCTTTGTGGTAGCCCAGGAGATGCTGGGGCTTGGATGTGGCCATTGATTCTCTGCTTCTTCCTGCTCTGCTCCATCACGATCATGTGCCCTAGCTCTCCAAGGTGTTTTAAGCGGGAACTCTTTTTGCAAGAGCGAGCTGTGACGGCTGTGATTTTCCCTTGTCAGGTACATGCTGGTGGGAGTCTTGGTCGATGTTATCCGCGTCATCTCCACCACTGAGAAAGAAGGTGCTTCCGTGCCTGCCCCCTTATTCTAGGGGAAAATGTTTTCCATGAATCAATGGTTAAGTACGATAAGCCATGGCTGGAGTTGTTTGCGAGGCCTCACAGTTGCCTACCTTGCAAGTGAGATCCGAGACAAGATGGAGAGTCTCAACTACAACCCTGCAGCTTGGCAATGTCATTCATGTTGAAGGAGGACATGCGAGGGCACATCTTCCCAAATGCTTGCCTTGGCCCAGGAAGAGCCCCTCACTCAGTTTGAGTTCCAGAAGCTGCTGCTGGAGCCGGAGATTGCCGTGATCTTGTCAGGCCTGTGCGCTACAACCCCCATAGCCTTGATTGGAATGATCGGGTCACCCTCCGTGCAGGAGAAGGCGTGGATGTCATTGCTTTGGTCGACAGCCTCGACATGATCTATGAGGCCTTTGAACTGATGAGATTTGAAGTCCGCGGCATCCCAAAGCCTGACAGGACCTTGCCAAGAATGGCAAGGATGGGCTTGATTTTGCTGCCGCTCTGGACCTGCTGCTCAATATGAGAGGAGGCAACGCTGCCACGGCTCCTTGCCTTCAGTGCAAGTGGTACAACTGAAAATTATGAAGCCCAATAGGGCTCAGCAAATAGGGTCACGCTGCCTGCACACTTGTTGAAACTCTTCGCTGCATTCCTACTTCTCACACAGAGTACAGAGCCCTTGACCGTAACACAGTTGACTGTAGACAGCAAACAGAGCTGTTGATTTTCAGGGTTTTGCTGTGACAGGTTGCTTCGAAGCATTCTGGCTAAAGCTGAGGTGAAGGATGTGAAGGAGCAGCTCCGCCTCACCAAGTCCCTGGTGAAGTCAACGCAGTGGACGCTTCGTCCAATCAAAAACTGCAGCTGCTGCTGCCTGTTTGCTGTGAACTCAGGACACTTATGGAAAAGATGACTTCTGAGCTGGTGGCTTAAACTGCGGCATCTTGAGATTACTTGAACATCACGCGGGCCCGCCCGCCCGCCCGAGGTTTGCCAATGTCCTTGCGCAGCTGAAAGAGTTGCGCGAAGAGGCGCTTCAAAGAGATGGTCGGGAAGCGGACGAGGATGTGGAGTACGAGGAGGCGTCGACACTTTGCTGGTGTGACTGGGTGGAGGGGCCTTGAGGACTTATCGCCTGGTAGGAGTCCTTAATGCCGAAGTCCATCCGTGATCCGTGAGCTGTAAGACACAGTCCAGGCCATGTAGTTGCACTTTCAGCTCACGCCGCAGAATCTTGCCGGCCATGCTTTTCTGTGCCCCTTTGCTCCCTTAAAAAGTCTCAGAGGAAGCCCAGCAATGCCCCAAAAAAAGCGCGGCGTACGGAATTTTAAGTGTGGATGCTGCACAGGTGGTTGGGGCACGCTGGACTGGTAGATCTAATGCTCTGTCAGGGCACAGATCCCAGCAGTACCCCGCACGGCAGCTGGCCCACAATGTAGCAGTCATATGCAGGCCTTGTGTCTCACACGCAAAATTGCCGGCAGCTTGCAGGATTTCAGGTACCGTATGGGCACGCGGCCAAGCTGGTGCTCATTTGCCCACTGGAAGGAGACTCCATTCCCACATGGCTCGATAACCTGTAGCAGCCACTTGTTCGCTTGAAATTGTCGGAAAATGCTCCGGAGCTCTCCTGTCCTGCAAGACTGCAGCGGACCGAATGCCACCAGCTTCCGCGCTTGCTCGTTGCAAAACAACCACAACCCAGAGGGTAGAGATTCCTGTCGGCAGCATGCTGGGACACACAAAGCCCGAGGTCAGCTTGGCTCAAGACTGTTTCGATGGGCAAGCGGCGGTAGAGGCCAGGCAAGGCAGAGTGAACGTTTCCAAGCGAGCTACCTTCCAAAATATCAGAAAGAGGGGATGTGTCACAATCGGGGACCAGAAAGGACATGACCAAACTCTGCGTTTAAATTTAGATTCGCATACGAGGTCAACAAAACTGTGCTCGGGCTGTCTCCGTTTGCAGGGGCCACGCTCAGCCAAGACCAAGCCCCTGAGCATGTTGGTTGCCCGAGTGGAGCCCGGCCCGAGCCAAGCTAAACCAACACAGCCCAGCCCCAAACCTGTACAAAGACCAAGGGGCAAGGCAGGGTCCAGGGCGCTTGGCGGAAAGCGCCTCACTTTGACCTTTCAGATTTTCATGCTATTCCAAGTTCTTGTGAAGGACAAGTTGTAGCCATGTCTACCGGATGCTCCTCAATTTGGCGGCTTCGACTTTTGCACGAGTATCCCGAATGCTATCGTCACATACTGGAAATCTGTGATAGGTTTCCAAACAAACTGTCGTGGCTGCGCGGACAGGAACCGCAATGGCGGATACCAGTTTGCTTGCTGGGTGAAGCCGTCATTGCAGGCTCTCTGCTACCGGCACAGGAAGAGCGGAGGGTGACGAAGTAAAAGAAAAGCTAAAGCTGCCATGCTGAAACGGTCTGAGACTGTTTGAGACCCTCCGAGGCTGTCGGGGTTTGAGGCGCATGGAGCGAGGCTGTCAGACCTTCTTGTCACGTTCTTGCAGGCCGGGTGTCCGGCAGCGGTGTGCTCAAGGCATTTGCGAAGTCCATGCCTCGAAGGAGTGAACCGATACTTCGCCAAGGCAACGGCCCCAAGCTCCCAACCATTTCAGACAGAGAAACCTCTTGGTTCGATGCCTCTGGCTGGCACCACGTTTCTTTCCCAACTCCCTATGCTCGGGATGTGCGGACAAGGCACAAGGTGCCTTGGAGGCAGCTTACAACCTTCAGACTTCAAAGTGAGGATTGTGAAAGTCACAACCCTGTACCTTGCCTCGTGAGGTGCTCCCGCGGCTTCTAGCAAAGCTAGTGGGGCCCCTGGCATGGGATGAGGCGCCCTCAACGCCCCGCGCCCTGCGAGAGGCTCTGCCAGACTTCAGCGAGCGCCTGAGCAAGCCAAAGCCAAGCCAGCAAAGCAAGCAGAGAGCAGCAAGCGACGTCAGGGACGGCAGGGATGGCAGGTGGAGTGCGTGCTCCACCCAGATCCTGTCTGCGCAGGCGCTGGCAACGGTCCGCTTTGAGAGGCGTCCAACGATGCCTCCCAGCACGCAGAAGCCAAGCACGGCTCCTGCTCGTCTCCTTTCCATGGAGCGGCTAGCAGCCCTAGCAGAGCCAAAACGGCGCAGAAGCAAGTTTGAGCGCACCAACAGCTTTGTGAAAGAGCCTGCGGCTCCCGCAACCTCGATGAAGAGGCCGAAGCCCAGGCAGACCTCACCACAACGTCAAGACTCGTCCCTGCCAGAGAGGTCGCTGAGTCACGAAAACAAGCATGCCAAAGGCAAACCTTCTGTGCCAGCAAAGAACGAGAAGTCAGGAAAGGGTAGCGACGGGCGAGCCAAGGAAGCCTGTCCAAACCTCACCAAAGACCAACATCAGCTTGAGGCCAGCAGGACTTCAAAGGAGGGTCTGCTTAAGCCGCTGCAGATTTCTTTCGCCAGGCCCAGACTCATGCCCATGGGAACAGCGTGTCGGCGGCTTGGGCTGTGAGGCTTGCTTGCTTGAGCTGCTGGGGCTTGGTGCCAGGACCTTCAGCAAGACTGTTCGGATCTTGGCATTCGGGGCAGCCAACGTGGAACCCC